ATTCTGCATTACAAAGAAATGAACACGTGAGTGGCTAACCTGACTAGAGCCTCCAGAATAGCAAATACCAAGTGTTCTGTAACCTTCTTGTTCTCTGGTGCCTTTTTTTTCTTTCCCCCTGCAGAACAATTTCCAAAATGGGCAAAGAGCACAGTAGGTGGCTCTCTTTAATATTTTGCAGGCAAAGCAACAATGACTCACTAAATCCTACATCTGTGCCATCAGCAAAGGCCTGATAGAGTTGGGCAACAAATGCAGCCAAGTGTATGCTCAAGGTAATCTTTTGGTTTTCCCTCAGCCCCATCCTCTGATTTCTTTTGGCCACATTCTACTTTCCAGTTATACCAGGTAAGACAATGCCAAGTGTCTACTTTGGAGCAAGAGAGGACATGGCCTCCCAAGTGGCCTAACATTTCTCCTAGAAGTGCATTCATAAGCCTGTCTGTTAGCTACAAAGGAAAGAAGCCTAACTTGTGAAGAATCTCCATGGGCCAACAGCCTCACCGACTTCATTCATCTTTCTCTAGATGCCTGAAGCTATCAGTGCCTACAAGGAGGACTGAAGCTCTGGACCAGTGGTTAGTGATAACAGTAAGCATTGTTTCCCTCCAAATGCTGTGTTACTATACTCTATTAGTGAGCTCTTTGTCCTTGCAACCGATATACCTAACATAGGCTCCTCAATGGAGGAGGCGTTTATTTTGGTTGAGAAGATTCATTATTAGGGTGGGAGGTTGTGGTGGAGGATTGCTGCTTACATCATGATTAACAAGGATGGACACACACACATACATGGAAAAGCAGCTGTTCTGTTGATGTTTTTCTTTTACCCTTTTATTCTATTTAAGCCTCCATCCAAAGGTAGGTTGTCTGTATTCAGGGTGGGTCTCCTTCATCCACAATCACTCCTCTCTAGAAATGTCCTCCACCTGTCACACACACACACACACACACACACACACACACACACACACACACACTGATGTGTGTCTCACAAATCTAAATGATTCTACAACCTGTCAAACTGACAATAAAGATTAAGCATTACACATGCTGTTCTCTCCATTCCACTCTGTCCAAGGAAGTAGTTAGATAGCTGAAGAAGGCTAGGCTACCTGTAACATTTCATCCTTAATCATCGTGCAGTCCACCAACCAATCAGGAAGGCAGGATGAGAAAGCCATCCGGAACAGAAGATCAGCCTGACATAACCCTGATCTCTGTGGGTTTATTTGTTTGGTTGTTTGGTTGGTTGGTTGGTTTGGCTTGGGTTTGGGGTCTTCTTAGTTTTTTGGGTTTTTTTGAGACAGGGTTTTCTCTGTGTAGCCTTGGCTGTCCTGGAATTGCTTTGTAGACTAACTGACCTTGAACTCACAGAGCTCTGCCTGCCTCTGCCTCCCCGAGTGCTGGGATAACAGGCACATACCACCACACCTGACCATCTCTGTGTCTTGATAGTACCTTTCCTACTAGAATCTGAAGGTGCATCCCATCAAATACATGAGAACGGAATGCTGCCCTGTTCATCTGTGTGAACACAACAAGGAGTCAATGCCGCAAATTCTACAGAGCCATGCTGAAGTATTGCTCTCATAGCAGAAAAAAAATAACTTGCTTTGTGACCTGAAATCACCAGCCAAATAAGGTCAATCTAAGAACGAAAACAAATTGTTCAAGTCCTGCTGGAGAGGTAACAAGGTGTGATGAGAAAGGGCTTGAAAGAAGCTGAGGAAGAACTCAGAGGTATGAACTATATTGTTAGGGCAGAAAGTCACCAACCGTGTGACCCTGGAAACCTCTCATTTCTGCAAGCCTCACTTTAATTTTCTTCCCAAGGAATGGGGATAAGCTGAGAGAAGGTGGTATTTAATGAGAGCAGTTCTCTACTGCAGGCACTTGATGGTAGGCATGGAACTTCATTTCCACGTGACAGCATAGCATAAGCATTTTTTAAGTCATTTAAGAACTGGATAAAACAGAAATCTCTGAAAGTTGAAACAATTTCCCCAGTATCACCCATCAACTTATGTATCAGATCCAGAATTTAAAATCAGGTAGCTTTTTCTACGCCATAGGCCCTCCCATTGTTAATATGCCTGCCATGATCATCTCCAAGAGCTACTCAAGGAACAACAACAACAACAAAATAATAATAGGTGTGGGACACACTTGGAAATTTTACAGTTCTATACATACACACACACACACACACACACACACACACACAGTTTAGGTATAACAACAAATAATAATATAAATCAGGAAAGATAAAATGTGCTTTCTTCCAAAGCCCAAAACCAAAAGGGATTTGCTTTCAATGTCCTTCCCATCCCCTAGTTTTGACCTTACTACAAACAGTTCCCTTTTCCCTACAAGTCCCTGGTTTCTAAGGCCCACATTCAGACATATCCTGGCCAAGTTATCACAACGCAAGCGCAAGGAACAAGCTGACAGACAGATGTGGTTCTGTCCTGTGGCAATGCCTCCTGTGGGAGGCACCTAGGTGGGCCTCACCAAACCCTGGCCTCCTCTCAAGATGTGTTCCACCCCCTCCCTGGAGGTCATCAATTTTGCCTGCAAACGCTGTGGACTGTGAAGGAAGCAGCCCCTTATAAATGCTAACTACTCGGTTCTGGGACTTGCAGCATGGCCAGTAGATGGTAGTAAATAATTGTATGGATCAAAGTAAAATCAATTGTCATGCAAAAAGGGTAGGGGTGTCTATGGAAGCTGCTTAATTAAAAAAAAATGAGTAAGATAGGATGGCTCATGTGAGCCTATGTTTCTGTTTGTGTTTAAATAAAGCAAATTAGTATCCAGAAGAGACTAAAAAACATAGATCCACAAGAAGAGAATATAAAATCAGGGCACAGGGGTCCTTTCTGAGACTGATACTCCAACCAGGGACCATGCATGGAGATAACCTAGAACCCCTGCACAGAGGTAGCCTATAGCAGCTCAGTGTTCAAGTGGGTTCCATAGTAATGGGAACAGGGACCGTCTCTGACAAGAACTGATTGGCCTGCTCTTTGATCACCTCTCCCTGAGGGGGGTGCAGCCTTACCAGGCCACAGAAGAAGATAATGCAGCCAATCCTGGCAAGACCTGACAGACTAGGAACAGAGGGAAGAGGAGGAGGACCTCCCCAATCAGTGGGCTTGGGGAGAGGCACAAGAGGACATGAGGGCAGGAGGGCGGGATTGGGAGGGGGCTCGAGAGGGAGCTACAGCTTGGATACAAAGTAAATAAACTGTAATCAATAAAACAATAAATAAATTTAAAAAAAAGAAAAACAGAAAAATCTGTTGCTTTCTGATGTTAGCTAAAGAACTTGAAATTGTCAGATGGACCTATGAGCAGGAATAGAAGGCTTGGCCCAATCTATGGCATTGCTATAACTGTTTCTTGTCTTGTCTTTTTAAAATCCCTTATCAAATACAAGACCCTCTTTGGCAAGGTAGGATACTCCCTCTCAAGTCAGTTCACAAACTGGAGGCTTGACCTGAAAACGAGGGGGGAATTCACCAGTTTTACAACCAAGTCTATCTGTGGAAAAGATTCAGAAAACACTGCAGAGAACTGTTCAGGCCTGGCGGGTAAGGATGCTTCCCCTCAATGCTGAGCACTGAAAGAATTCCACCCACATGGTGGGAAGTGAGATAGGATACCCAAGAAGTGTCCTTTGACCTCCTCACACGTGCATAAAAACACACGTGCACATGTGCTCACACACACACACACACATACATGCACACAAGCACACACACATATAAATAACTGCTAAAATAGATTTTTAAATGCTCAAACTCCAAAGGGGAAAGTATCATTCTAGTTCCAGATTTAAAAAAAAAAAAAAAATCATTACGAGGTAGTAGGAAACCATTTTTCTCAAACCCCGAGCAATATTTACCAAAGTTGCCAGGCCAGGCACTATTCTGAACATGTTACTTAAACTGTTCTGTCTTCCACCTACCCCCAAGGATTTACAGTGAGCTCGCGAGTGTCCACTGCCGCTTGAAACAGGGTCAGAAAGGTGGACCCAACTGCCCAAGTTCACACAGCCAACACAAGGCAAAGGCACTGATAGAAAACAGACCTTCTCAGCCCGTCGCTAACCAGGAATCTGCACGGCAAAGTATCTGACGTTTCCCGTGGCCCCTTGGCTCACAATTTCACAACCAGTGGGCTGAGGGAGGGAGAGGAGAAAACATCTCCTAGAGGAAGCAGCAGAAGTTTGCTTTCGCCTTTTTAATTTTCTCTTTAACCAGGCTTCCTTATGCCCAGCCAGGACTTAGAGGTAAAAGGAGGGAGGATCCAGGCTCCATCAGCCAGCAGCTCCTAAAGGACAAGCATCTTCTGTCTCTTCCCCCCCCCAACCCCCCACCCCTAGCCATTCCTGCTACCTCCAAGGCTGTTAGAGTGGTGACCAACATTAACCTTTCTCTTACCTCTCCCCAAACCCACCAGAAGCCTGGTAGAGACCCTAAGCAGGAGCCTTCCTCAAAGGGGGATAGATAGATAAATAGATAGATAGATAGATAGATAGATAGATAGATAGATAGATAGATAGATAAAAAGCAGGTCAGGGAAGGAGCTAGCTAGGCTGCTGGCAGCCTCTCCCCAGGCTGTCACTGCTGGGGCTGCGAGCGAGCGACGTGATGGAGTGTGTGTGCTGGGACACAGCCTCACGCTTACAGCGCACTCTTGAGAACCCTAGGCACCGGGAGACTGGTACAGATCACAGAGCCGGACAGCTGTCCCCACGACAGCTTTACTTAAGCCCTACCAACCAAAGAAAGGGCTCCGTGTGGCTGGGTTCAAATCCCGACGGCGCACTAACTATTAGAGTCCTTTAGCGGTGGCCGCTGTCTGGCCCCGCGTCTCAGTTTTCCTGTCTGTAAAACAGAAGGGTTGGTGGAGCCGATCTACAAGAATTCCTACTACCCCGAGTTACTGCGGCTGGCCATTTCAACCCAGCCCTCCTGCAGAGCGAGACTCACCTTCCTGGGCCAGCCGAACAGACTCGGCGACAATGACGGGATGGGTGCAGGGTGGCCGGCCACTGCCTCTTTCCGCGCCCTGGTCCAAGCCGAGCCCAGGAGACCCAGATCCCAGCAGCCTTCCTCGACTCGCCTCTTACTTTCCGCCGCACTTTCTTTTTCCCCCTCCGGGGCTCCTCCCCTGCCACCGCGCGATTGGCCCTGGGATCCGGCGGCCGCAGGCTCCACCCGCCGCGGTGGCTCGCGCTCCGCCCGCAATCGGGGCTTCCCGGGGCTGGAGTGGGGGCGGCACGCGGGGCAGTTCCGCACGCTGCGAGGAGGAGCCGCGTGGGGCCCGCCCGCCAGCGGATGCCAGGCTGCGCTGGGTGCCCCCGCGTGGTCCACCGGGGACCAGGGCGGAGCACGCGAGGAAGGGGCTAGCGCTGCAGCCTCCCGGGCGCTCAGGGCAGGTACGGCGCCCTCTGCACACCTAGGCACGCGGGCTCGCTCCGTCCAAGAACGCGGTCCTGCAGCCCAGGTTGACACTAACCTAAGGTCCCTGCAGTCTGCGTATTCACCAGTCACAGACTAATAGCCAGGAATCGATTCGGGCTGCACCCTGGAGAGCCCACCATGTGCCGAGCTCCTAGAGCAACAGGAATCGGAAGCAGCACAGCCTTGTCCTCGGCCAGATGCGCTCTCTTGCTCTGCTAGAAGTGGTAGACACTGGAAAGAGAGCACCCATCCTGACAGTAGGACGCGTCCGTAGCGTCCACTGCTCCTAACCCCCAGCCCAATGAGAGCCACTAAGCTGGCATTCGGGACGATTAAGCTGAAAAAGAAGATGAATACATGGGCGATTGAGTGAAATAATCGATTACAGAAAGCAATAATTTCCTGTTCATTCATTCCTGTCTCTCCGAGTCCGTAGAGAAGCTTTAGCTGCCACCTCCGCTGTACGCTGCAATTATGTAATCATGTGAGGAGCTTGAGAGAGGCCTTCCTTAAGTCAATTTCCTTGTTTAAACGCCTCCTTGAAAGCAAGCCCTGTCCCCATTTCACAGTATCCCCCAACTAAGGCAATCTGCCAAGTCGACTTGTGTCATTTCCCACAGGCCTTGCTCCTTGCCACCTCCTTGAAGTTTGCTCCACCCCCAAACTACTTACCTGTGTCTTATTAATTTGTTTATTTATTCGAGAAATTGAGTCCCAGACGAAGCAATTAAGCAATGAATGAAGAAAGGATTGTAAAAGGAAAGAGCCAGTAAGAGAGCAAGGAGATGACAGCCTTACCAAAGACACTGGCAGTTCAAACCTCCCACACTTCCCTGACCTGGGGCGTCAATCCTGGACTGGTTACATTTACTCTGCTGTAACCAAAACACCTGCACCTGCGAGAGTAACTTACGTGATGGAAAGACCTACTTTGACTCGCAGTCTATGCCTGGCCGTCTGGCACACTGTGCATGGCATGAGATTGTTGCTGATACAAAGAGCGAAGAATCCAGGACGTTTTAAAAGTTACTGATGATAAACAACAACTAAAATTCTTTGATTTCTGTCTCATTCGTTACACATATTCCAGGCACCAATTTACTTATTACACACTACATTAATTATTTTCTAAGTTGCCTACAAAATAGAAAGCATAAATCAATCATAACGGCTTCAGATATATTAATTCACTTAACCCTCACGGCAACAGATACAGTGCTATGCAGAAGATATGAGGAAACTTTAAATCATTTTCTCAATGCCATGAGTCTAAAAGTGGAGGGTGCAAAAAGCAGGACTCAGGCAGCCAGCACTGACTTTCCCAAACACCCACCTGGACAAAAATATCTTGAGCCAGCTTAGAAGCCAGACAGATTATGACGGTTCACAATGGACCCAAGTATTATCCTGGACATTGCATAGCTGCAGGCAACTTCACGGAGACAGAAGACATATCAAAAAAATTTCAGCCTACAGAAATAGTAGAGATAAGACTATTAGTTAACCAGTGCTATACATTCATATAATAAGGCATTTGTTATCAAGATAGCTATATCTTGAGCATATATTTGGAAAAGGCTTGGGATATGACTAACCGGATGAAAGAGAAGTTAAACAGACATACAGATAGCACTTAAAGAAATGTGGGAAACAGTGCTGTAGATTACGGGAGGGGGTGTGATCACTGTGTTCTGGTTTTTGATGGGACATAGCAACACCTTAATGAAGAATTGTCTAGACTTGCCAGCTGTAGGTTTGCCAGTGACTGGCTTTAACTGAAGTGGGAAGATCCACCGAAATGTGGAAGGGACCATTTCTTGCTCTGAGCACTGGACTGCTTGAAGAGGAGAGAGCTAGCCAGCCGAAAGCCACCATGTATGTATTAATTCATTGTTCTCTGCTCTTGACTGTTGATAAAAATGCAATCAGTTCTTTCAGGATTCTGTCACCCTCTCCACTAATATGTCTGATTGTGACTTAGAACTGCTATTTAAATCAGCCCTTTCTCTCTTAAGTTGTTTTTGTCAGGGTATTCTGTCACGGCAACAGAAAAAAATTAAATAAGAGAACAGTCCTCATTTTTTCCTTTAAACATTTGGTTTATTATCAAAACATAAAAATGAAAATAAAGATGTTTTAAATTATTCACTACACAGTGGATATTCAATAAATAATTATTTCCTGAGCAAATGAATGACTGAAAATTCAGTTTTATTGCTGGTCAGTGTCTAATAGTGTTGGACGTTCAGAAGATACTCAATAAATATCTTGCAGTTGTTTGAGGTGTTTGGGGACAGTCACCTCATTTCCCTCCTTTACTTCTCCCTGCCTCCCTATGGTCCTCTCTTTAGGCATCTTTAATTACCTTAGCAAAACTATAAGGGCCACCAGCTTGATAGTCTGTTCAACCTCATCAATTAGGATGTTGGAACTAATATGCCATGGTCAAGGTCTCTAAGACTTCCATTTTCAATGTCAGTCTTCAGTCTTCATCGCTTGACTGCTTAAGCTGCAGTAGACAAATGTGACCCGTTGCTCCTTTAGCCTCAGTCAGGCTCGACTCCTAGGTTTCTTCTGTCCCACCTGCTGCACTTTATGTTATGTTCGTTTTAGGTCCCTCTCTCTCCAAGCAGGGACACTCTTCCTATAGCATGATTTAGTTCCCTCTTTCAGGCATCTTATCTAGACATATAGCTTTCTAAAATATCTCTATGATAATGACCTGCAAATTTAAATCTACAGCCCAAACGCAAGACTAAACATACTGTTCGCCTCCTTCATATCCATTCTTGATATTTCGTGTGCATCTCAAACTTCGCATATTCAGAATCTAGCTCATTAAGGGCAGAGATTCTGAAGCCAGCCTGAATCAGAATCCGGATTCTGTAAGACATTAACATGAAATCAGCATGTTGTTTCTTTTCTGTCTTAGTTTCATCCCTGTAAAGCACGAAGGTAATGTGTTTACCGTGATTCTCTTTTAAAAGTAAGTAACATATGCAAACAAAACTCTTGGAACAGAAACTGGCATCAGAAACACTTTGTAAATATTCATTATTTGTTTGTTTAAATAAATAGTGTGAGGGTGGTATCACTGCTGAGTGTGGGAATATTTGCATAGCCTGTATGAAGCCCTTGGTTCAATCTCCTGTACTACAGGAAAAAAAAATTACATTATCCTCTGCTCTCAAATACTCCATGATTTGTCATCACATTGGGCTGATCTCCAGAGTCCATACTGGGGCCTGTACATCCTGACATGGTCCCAAATTAGGTTATTTCTTAAATCTAACTTCCACTGTGTGGACCCTGTGCTTACTCACGTAAGCACCCTCCCCAACATGCTGTTTCTGCTCTCTCTTCTTGGACTGCTTTTCCTGCAAGGCATCCCTGTAGCTCACATCTTTCTGCATTAGCCAGCTGCCACTTCAGGGATACACTCACCTGGAATCCCTTTGTTGCCTGTCTTAGCTACATGTGTGTGCACGCATGTGATTGGGCTGAGTGCTACAGCATAAGCTACTTTACCTGCTGAGCCATCTTACTGGCTTCAGTCCAAAACGTTCATAGTTAAAACTAAGATGTAGATTTATGATGTGACAAATTTCTTGTCTTTTTTTTCTCCGTTACACTTTTGGGATGCTAAATACGGGAAGATTAGAAGTAAAACAAGGACTCTCCATTTTGGCCCTATTCGAGGTAAATAGTGTGTAGTATGCAGAATGTGTGGCTTCTGGTGAAGGAAAAGGGCAGGGCTGAGCCAAGGTAGCTGGGCGGACCTATGAACAAGGGCAAAAGTCCTGTATATGACTGTCTATATTTGTTGTGTTCCTACTTTTTGTACCTCTTAGTGCTGCTTCTCTTGTCTCAGTGCATCAGTGCTGCAACCATCTTCTAACTAAATAAAGTAAAAAAAAAAAAAAAAAAAAAAAAAAAAAAGCTGTGTTCTTCAGTTACTGCCTCTTCCCCTTTGCTGCTTGTGTTCCTGATTAAAGCCACCACACTCCTCTCGGCTTTGATTAGCTAAGGATAGGAAAAAAAGAAGACTGACGGGCAGCATAGGAAGGCAGAGATTTTCTGAAAATTCAGCCCTATCTAGTCAGAGATATACACACATTTATCTAAACACAGATACCTGATTGCCTAAATGCAAGTTATTTGGAAAATGAAATGTGGCTGTACTCTGCAGCAGGAGGCCTTCTCAACCTCACCCTTTAGCCTCCCACGGGGCCTTGCAGCTGACCTGGAAAAGGGGCAGAAGAACATTTGGAACTTATCCAGAATTCTGTTGATATGCACAGGGATGGGTTGTGAACCCACAATGGAAGAGCATGGAGCTATCAAAGATGAACTCTTCTGGGCACTATAAGCGGTTTTTATTCGGTTACCATTGAGAACAGGGGAAAGAACTTCATTCCTTTAGGTACAGAGGTCACCGGGCAGTTTAAAGGGAGCTAGAAGGAAGGGAGAGGTTCCGTAGAGACAGAGAAGCGAACAGTTCAAGGACGTTAGTGTTTGGGGCTGGTGAGATGAGCCAGTGGGTAAAGGCAACTGCAGCCAAGCCTGATTACATGAGGTCAGTCCCCAGAACCTGCAGGGTAGAAGTACTCAACGGACTCCTACAAGTTATCCTCTGACCTTGACACATGTGCATTCACTCACATATG